AAATAAAATAAACTAAGACAAAATTTTAAAGGCTAAATGCCCAGTGTCACATCTCACCATGTTTAACAGCCATTCAATAAATAAAAGTAATATGCTCTGGTAAAAACAACACTGAACCAGAAGTCTAGAAAACTAAAATTCTAACCTAAGTTTGACTTACTATTTTTATTTTAATCATCTGGGTTTCACTGTGGTCTTCTGTTAAATGTTGGACCAAACTCAAGATTTTTCCCCTCCACAATTTTATGACTCTATGGAAAGCCATACAGATTTTTTTAAAATATTATATACAATGTTGGTGAAAATGTAATGAGTTTGTACTAATAAAAACACTAATTATAAAAGTGTAAATTAATGTAACTTTTCTAGAAAGTGATTTGTTAGAACATACCCAGAACCTTAAAGAAGTTAATATCGAACGATCCAAGATGGCCTATTGCTAACATCTCGGGATTGCAGCTCCCAGCGAAAGCTCAGACAACGAGAGGACGCCACACTTTCAGACAAATTTTGGTCACTCACGGAGCAGAAGATTCCCAGTGGAGAAGCTCCACGGGTCGCCAGCGGGACTCTTGTGGCCCGCGCAGCGGTTTCACCGGCACCTCAGCGCAGCAGCTCTCGGTGCAGAGTAAAAGGGACTGGTTCCCCTTCTGACCGAGGTTTGGAGGAGCCACACGGGTCGCCAGCGCGACTCTTGTGGCTGGCGCAGCGGTTTTGCCGGCACCTCGGCACAGCAACTCTCGGTGCAGAGTAAACGGGACTGGTTCCCCTTCTGACTGAGGTTTGGAGCTCCGGGAAGGCAGAGTCGCCTATTACAGACTCAAGAAGGAAGCCAGACTGGAGATTGCCGGGCAGAAAAGCACCATCAGTCTTAACACCGCTGTTTTGGCCAGTGCAGTGGGTTGCTCATATTTCGGCCCTGGGAATTAACAACTTGGACGTCCACTGAGAGACCTAATTTGAAAGTTGGTAATTACGAAGACGATAGGTGGATAAATTTACAATGATGGGAAGAAACCAGCATAAAAAGGCTGAGAATACTCAAAATCAGAATGCCTCTAAAGAGGATCACAGTTCCTCATCAACAAGGGAACAAGACTTGATCGAGAAGGAGCACATCCCATTAACAGCATCAGGCTTCCAAAGATGGATAATAAGAAACTTCTGTGAGTTAAAAAAACATGTTGCAGCCCAATGTAAAGAAACTAAGAACTTTGAAAAAAGGTTTGACGAAATCCTAATGAGAATAGACAACTTAGAGAGGAATATAAGTGAATTAATGGAACTGAAGAATACAATGCAGGAACTCCGAGAAGTATGCACAGGTTTAAACACTCGAATTGTTCAAGCAGAAGAAAGGATATCAGAGGTAGAAGTCCAACTTAATGAAATAAAACGAGAAAACAAGATTAGAGAAAAAAGGATAAAAAGGAATGAGCAAAGTCTCCAAGAAATGTGGGACTATGTGAAAAAACGAAATTTACGTTTGATAGGTGTACCTGAATGCTACGGAGAGAATGAATCCAAGCTGGAAAATATTCTTCAGAATATTATTCAGGAAAATTTTCCTAAACTAGCAAAGCAGGACAATATTCAACCCCAGGTAATACAGAGAACACCACAAAGATATTCCTCAAGAAGAGCTACACCAAGGCACATAGTCGTTAGATTCACCAGGGTTGAAACGAAGGAGAAAATACTAAGGGCAACCAGAGAGAAAGGTCAGATTACTCACAAAGGGAAGCCTATCAGACTTATAGCAGATCTCTCAACAGAAACTCTACAAGCCAGAAGAGAGTGGGGGCCAATATTCAACATCCTTAAAGAACAGAACTTTCAGCCCAGAATTTCATATCCAGCCAAACTAAGCTTCACAACTGAAGAAAAAATAAAATCTTTTATGAACAAGCAAGTACTCAGAGATTTTATTATCACCAGGCCTGCTTTACAAGAGCTTCTGAAAGAAGCATTACACATAGAAAGAAACAACCAGTATTAGCCTTTCTAAAAATATACCAAAAAGTAAAGAGAATCAACATAAAGAAGAATTTACATCAACGAATGGATCAAACAGCCAGTTAACATCAAATGGCAAAATCCTAAATTTAAATCGACTAAATCTCCCAATCAAAAGATACAGCCAAAACCCAACAGCATGTTACATCCAGACTCATTTCACTTGCAAGGATACAAAAAGACTCAAAACAAAGGGATGGAGAAAGATTTACCAACCAAATGGAGAGCAAAAATAAATGATTAAATAAAAAGCAGGAATTTCAATCCTCATATCTGATAAAATATATCTTAAAGCAACAAAGATATAGTGGTAAAAGGATCAATGCAACAAGAAGAGCTAATGATCCTAACACCCAGATACATAAGACCTATAAAGAGACTTAGACTCAACAAGACAGAAAATTAGTAAGGATATCAAGGACTCGAACTCAGATCTGGAACAAGTAAACTTAATAAATATTTATAGAGCTCTCCACTTTAAATATACAAAATACACATTCTTGTCAATACCACATCACACCTTCTCATAGGTTTAAATGAAACATTGATTGGCCATTATTAATACCCATTTTTTTTAGAATAAAGCAACATTTCCCTTCTCTCTCCCTCTTTTTCTTCCTCTTTCTTCCTCTCCTTCACTCCTTTTTTTTCTTTCCTTCTCTCAAAAAAAGAAAAAAAAGAAATCAACTTGTAGACCTCTAGATACAGGTCGGCAATGTCTCTCTCATTGCTCGATTTCCTTCCTTCCCTTCTCTTCCTGCCTCCCTCCCTTCCTTCCTCCCTCCCTTCCAAAAAAAAAAAAAAGAAGTTAATATCAACAGTTCCGGGGAGGGGTCTGGGGAGCACAGCAGCAATGGCCAGCCACCTCGTGCTCAACAACAGCATCAAGATGCCCATCCTCGGGCTGGGCACCTGGAAGGTCCCCTTCAGGCCAGGTGACTGAGGCTGTGAAGGTGGCCATCGACGTTGGGTACCGCCACATCAACTGTGCCCACGTGTACCACAATGAGAATGAGGTGGGAGTAGCCATTCAGGAGAAGCTCAGGGAGCAGGTGGTAAAGCCTGAGGAGCACTTTATCATCAGCAAGCTGTGGTGCACATACCATGAGAAGGGCCTGGTGAAAGAAACCTGCCTGAAGACACTTAGCAACCTGAAACTGGACTACCTGGACCTCTACCTTATTCACTGGCCAACTGGCTTTAAGCCTGGGAAGGAATTTTTCCAATTGGATGAGTCAGGCAACGTGATTCCCAGTGACACCAACATTCTGGACACGTGGGTGGCCATGGAAGAGCTGGTAGATGAAGAGCTGGTGAAAGCTATTGACATCTCCAACTTCAGCCATCTCCAGGTGGAAAGGATCTTAAACAAACCTGGTTTACAGTATAAGTCTGCAGTTAACCAGTTTGAGTGCCACCCATATCTCACTCAGAAGTTAATCCAGTACTGCCAGTCCAAAGGCATGGTGGTGACTGCCTATAGCCCCCTAGGCTCTGCCAAGCCCGAGGACCCTTCCCTCCTGGAAGATCCCAGGATCAAGGCTGTCGCAGACAAGCACAATGAAACTACAGCCCAGGTGCTGATCCGGTTCCCCATGCAGAGGAACTTGGTGGTGATCTCCAGGTCTGTGACACCAGAACGCATTGCTGAGAACTTAAAGTCTTTGACTTTGAACTGAGCAGCCAGGATATGACCACCTTACTCGGCTACAACAGGAACTGGAGGGTCTATGCCTTGTGAGCTGTATCTCCCACAAGGATTACCCCGTCCATGAAGAGTTTTGAAGCTGTGAATGCCTGCTCATCCCTAAGTGACCTATACCTGTGTTTCCTGCTTCATTTTTTTCCTTGCAAATGTAGTATAGCCTGTGTCATTCAGCAGTGGGACAGCAACTTACAGAGTGGCCAGCGAGAGCGTGTCTAGCTTGATGTTGGATCTGACGAGGACTGTCAGTAGAGGGTAAGTCTCTTCCAGTTTGCTTTGCCCTTCTCTTTGCCCCACTGGGGAAAGTGCAACCTGAATACCCTTTTCTGACCAAAGAGAAGCAAAATCTGCCAGGTCAAAATGGTGTCACTAACAGCTGAGTTTTGACTGTTTGGAACTGTAATCCTTTCAGCAAGACTTCTCTTTGCCTCAAATAAAAAGTGCTTTTGTGAGTTTGAAAAAAAAAAGAAGTTAATATCCTTTAGCATAGTAACTCTTGGAGATAATCAGAGGTGATGGCAAATATTTACATATAAATATAGTCTAGTCATCACACTATTAGGAACATGGAAAGTGTAAGCAACTGAAATGCTTGAAATCAAGAAAAGATTCACGTAAATTATGTTCTGACTATACAATGGACTCATGCAGCCATGAAAAAATTAAGCCCACATTTCAAGGGTAAAAAAAAAAAACTTATGAAAATAGCAAAATTAAGCTGTCAAAAAAACAAAATGCATCACTCTGTTCTTTTATGTGCACCCTAATGTTATAGGTATAAATATCGCCCCTATAAGTGGAGGTTCTTGTCATAAGCTCTACAATAGTGGAGGGTAACAGAGCCCTTCTCTGACTGAATACATGAATTTAAATTAAGCAATGTCTTCAAGCTATAGGTCAAAAAAGTGTACTATACCTAAACACAGGCATAATTTTATAAACATTTTTATAATTTGAGTAAAAATGAAATTAAACATGGATCTCCAAAGAAAAAATATGGGAGTGTTCTAGAGGATACTTCAAGTATGTTTTCATTGTGTTAAGCAAAAATTGCAAACAAGTCTCCTTTTTCTCTGTTAACTACAAAATTAATAGCTCTCTAGGTCTCTTTGAAGGTACAAGTAACTCTAGTAAAACACACTTAGGAAAAGAAAAAAGGAGGGTAATTCCCAAGGACCGGCTCCCTTGCTTTAACACTTAGTGCCTCTTGATTTGTCAATGTCCCCCTACTCCTTACAGTTATGAGAATAACTAACATGAAAAAAAGTAAATTCGGTCCAGCCGCGTGCTCCCCGCAAGGTGCTGCAACCATGGCTACGGCAGCCGGCGCTGCGGCCTACTTCCAGAGAGGCAGTCTGTTCTGGTTCACAGTCATCACCCTCAGCTTTGGCTACCACATATGGGTTATCGTCTGGCCTCATAGTATCCCTTATCAGAGCCTTGGGCCTCTGGGCTCTTTCACTCAGTACTTGGTGGACCACCATCACACCCTCCTGAGCAGTGGGTATTGGCTTGCCTGGCTGATTCATGTGGGAGAGTCCTTGTATGCCATAGTATTGTGCAAGCACAAAGGAATCACAAGTGGTCGGGCTTGGCTACTCTGGTTCCTACAGACTTTCCTCTTTAGGATAGCGTCTCTCAGCATCTTGACTGCTTACAAACCGAAGCGCCAAAAACAAACTTGAAGATGTCCGAGAGCCTGCTCTACACGTTTACATTCATGTTCACCTTTTTTGTGGGGGGGCGGGGGTAAGGGAGGTACAGTGTTTACTCAGTGATCTTTCTACTTTCTAGAATCTGACTGTCCTTCAAAGCTATTTCAGACCCTCTCATTAGTCATTTTTCTCTTATATGCTCTGGTTGAGCTTGAATAGACCAGTTGTTACTTCAAAAAGAAACAGAGAAAGATTTTAGCTTTTCAGTTCGATTTGGAAGAGGACTTCAGCTACCTTTTTATGGCCTTTGGTTGTGTTGGGGCCCTTGTGTGCTCTAGGATAAGCCACATACTAAATTGACTTTTTGGTTTGTATACTCTTGCTCCCGTCTTCTGATGAAAACACCTTACTAGGCCTACCACCATCTTTCCTCTCCTTTCCCAAAGCTCTTTCCACCTTGCTGCACTAAGATAAAGTGACACTTTCAACATACATCAATTCCACACACATTAATTAAGTAACTGTGAGGCAGGATCTTATCCTCTCAAACTTCCATTTCTCACCCTATAGAGAAAGATAAGGAAGATGCGCAAGTGCCTGGAATGGGGCAGGCTAAGTGGCCACATAGGAGCACGCTGAGAACCCGGAGGGGAGGCTGCAGAGTGCCTTCCCTGATGCTGCAGCTGGAAGTGATCCTTCCCTCCACCTGACCCCTGGGACACTGCTCTGTAGTGTGTGGGGTCTGATGGCACTGCTAGATTGCTCCTTCAGCTCAGTCCACAGCTTAAACAGCTTTACCTTTCCTCTCAGCACCTCCCACTACCTTGCACACAAGTGCTCTATCCATGTTTATTGAACAAAGGACAGAAACTGATTTCACTCTCACTTGTTCATTATCATTCCAATTTTTATGTGAAAATGGCACAACCCATTTGGGGTACTCTCATCTCAAAAGAAAAGCACAAGACTACCTTTGACTGGTACCAGCATTTTTATGGGTTCCTTGGTGAGAAACCTTTATCTTTTTCACACTTTTCTATTCTCCAAAAGTATCTCTTTCCAGCTCTGAATTATTCAAAACACACAGGCATTCCTGTTTAGAGATTCTAGCCCGTGGGTTATCTGGCTAGTTACTACCTCTCCTGTTCACTTGGTTATGCTTTATTATTGCTCACAGGTTGGGGAAGCAGAATGACTCTGTCACCACTAGGAGCCATTAAGGCTTGTTCTCTGGGGACTAGTCCTCACTTCCCATCTGTGATACAGTGGGGCAAGTTATTCGTATTAAGCAAACATTTAGGAGTAACAACCCCCTCCCCAAAACAGAGCCCCCGTGTAAAGCAGAGCCCTGAAATATTATGAACTATGAATTGTCTCCAGTGGAGATAAATTTCTGCAAATATATCTCAGTCTTTCCATCTATTTCTCTTGTAATTAAGAAGTTGCTTTTTGGTAAAGAAGAGGATTTTTGACCATAGAGTTAGGCATCATGGAAATTCAGACCAGATTTCTTAATACCTGATCTTCTCCAAAGAGAAATAATGACAGTAATAGTGGTGCTGGGAACAGTATGGCCGATTATTGAATGAAATGGATTAACCTGAATAAAATGCTGTGAATTATCTCTAAAAAAAAAAAAAAGAAAAAGAAAAAAAGTAAATTCATGATCCTAAGCATTGAGATAGTTCTCACAAATAGAAAGGATTTCATTTTTATTCTATAATATGGTGTCTGATAAGCCATAGGCATATCTGAAAACCCTGTCATCTTGCCTTGATGAAACCAGAAAACGTGAAGAACAAATAGTCCTACTGTTTTTTATGACTTCTGAACTAGTTGTCTTAAAGTTCCTTTGCCCTTAACATTTTAAAGGCTATACCAATATATTATGGAAAGAAGACAAAACAGGCCAAGGATGCAACTAGCTACTTGCAACAGTGACTTAACAGGTGTTGCTGTGAGGATCCTCATATAAAATAAATATTTTAAACAACCCTACACAATGTATAGAGATGAAACATTCCAAATAAAGCTGTAGTTTTTCTTCTTTTTTAACATTTGTTCTTGTTTTCTAATAAGCTTAAATTGGATTCTGCCTCATAGGAAGCCAAAGGCAAACTATGTTCTCTTCTCCCCGGAAACTTACAATAAAATAATGATAAACAGATCTAAGTCAAATTGAGGAGAATTGGTTGAAAATCATGGACAATTGAACACTTAGAATTTCCCTCTAGGATATCTGTCTTCTTGTTAAAAACACAGTTTATTTTTATTTATAGACAACATAACCTCAAATGCGGTACCAACAACCACACAAACTAGCATTATCACATTATCCTACACACAGCAGAGGAACTGCCTGGGAGAGAAGATTGTTTTGACGTTCTAAGTTAGATACATCCATTTATCTAGAAGAATAATAAAAATAAATTTAAAATGTGGGGGGTCCATATAAAAATCTATTTATAAGAAGGAAAAACAAATCTAATTCTGGATTTCATACTGCTAAGAATCTAGTCTTTCTAAACAGATCTCTGAATTCTAATTCTGTGATTTTCTTTTCTTTGGTCTAGAATATACAAAAAGCAAATTAATGAAGAGATTCAATTACGGAAATTAAAAATAATTTATAAAGCAACAACTCAAAAACTAAAATAAGAAGGTGTTTAAAGCCTTTTTCTACAAAGCTTCTTTTCAATACTTCCTTGAGTCAAAAATCTAAACTGTCATTTTGGTATTAGAGGCAGAAAAAGGTTCATCTATGTGCCAAGCCTTCAATAAATATTGGTTTAATTAAGTGGATGGAAGAGAAACTAAACATACCACTTTTACCCATTTACGTGGTGAATCAGACATTGTATACTTATTGGCATAATAAAATAAAACTTCTAAGACTGCTCATCTTCAATCAAGAAACCAGAGATCTCGGGCGCAGCGCAGTGGCTCACACCTGTAATCCCAGCACTTTGGGAGGCCAAGGCAGGCAGATCACGAGCTCAGGAGATGGAGACCATCCTGGCTAACACAGTGAAACCTCATCTCTACTAAAAATACAAAAAACTAGCCAAGTGTGGTGGCAGGGCCTGTTATTCCAGCTACTTGGGAGGCTGAGGCAGGAGAATCGCTTGAACCCAGAAGGCAGAGGTTGCAGCGCACCAAGATTGTGCCATTGCACTCCAGCCCAGGCGACAAAGCCAGACTCCATCTCAGAAAAAAAAAAAAAGAAAGAAAGAAAGAAAGAAAAAAAGAAACCAGAGATCTCATGATTCACTACAAATGAATCCTCTTAGAATCAAATATTAAGTTATATTTTTAAAATAAACCTTATTTTATAATTTGTGGGGTCTAGTGAGGTAGTTGAGTAATGATAAAAAATAAAAGAAAGTATTGGCTTAAAATGTGATGTTATCCACCACACAGGTAACAAGTCTACTGGAATGCCTACATAAGAAAAAGTAGGGGAAAGGCCTGGACAGTTGGCCACAAGTACATTACCCAGAGATTCTTAAAATTCTAAGGCATAAAACAGGAAACAGAAGGAAACCTGCCTGGCCAGAAAGTTAAGGGAGTGATTCTGCATGCAATTTCCCTACTGCCGTTCACATATATCTTCCTCATAAAAGAGGAGAGAACAGTGCTGGTCTGAGATGAAAGCCAAGTATAAATCATTTGTATATTATTTTATTATTATATATTGTATTGTATGTTATTAGTACTTAACAATATTTTCATAACACAATCCTACTTCCTTGGCATTATGGAATACAGTCTCAGTTTCACAACTGCCTGACAGCAAAGTACATGTCTCCAGAACAGTCTGTTAATTTCCAAAGACGCTTCAGAACCTCAAAAATCTTAGTGTCTCATTATTTACTGTGCCCTTATCAAATCTCCTTCCTCTCCATATGCCACTTAATTTTTTTCAGGTCTCATAATAAATACTAATAAAAGAGAATTGAACAAATTGGCAGAAAAGATCATAAGAAAGCATCTAGCTGTCATAAATATGTGCATTTGCAGATAAAATTGCTAAAGCACTATCAGTGACCTTTGAATCATCATATAAAATAGAAGTACCTGAAGATTAAAGAGAAGAAATGAAGTCCTAATTGTCAAAAAAAGAGAAAGGGCCAGGCGTGGTGGCTCACACCTGTAATCCCAGCACTCTGGGAGGCCAAGGTGAGCACATCAACTGAGATCAGTAGTTCGAGACCAGCTGGACCAACCTGGTGAAACCCTGTCTCTACTAAAAATACAAAATTAGCCAGGGATGATGGCACACGCCTATAATCCCAGCTATTCGGGAGGCTGAGACAGGAGAATTGCTTGAACCCAGGAGGTGGAGGTTGCAATGAGCCGAGATCTCGCCACTACACTCCAGCCTGGGTAACTGAGCAAGACTCCATCTCAAAAAAAAAAAAAAAGAGAGAAAGGAAAATCTAAAACCACAGAACTATAGAAGATGACAGGTTTAGTGACAATGCTATGCAGTAACATCATGAACAGGTCAAGAGAAGCAAATGGCACTCAACTGAACTGAAGTGGACAAGAGCTCACTGAGAATAACTCAAGGCCTAAGCCTTAATTTACTCTGTGAGTTATCAGACTAAATGAATACCAAAAACAAGAGACATCTGTACTTAAAATATCTACCAAATTCTCTTCTGATAAGAGTATGGCAGGGTTTCTAACCTCCGCGTTACTGACATTTTAAGCCAAGTAACTCTCTGTCCTGTATACTTAGGATGCTTAGGGGCAAACCTGGCCTCTACCAATCACATGCCATAGCATCCCCCAATTGTGACAACCAAAAATGTCTGCAGATATTGCCAAAGGTCCCCCAGAAGGCAGTATCACCCTTGGCTGAGAAACACTGATTTATGTCAAGAGAGAGAAATACAAAAAAAATAGTCATTACTAAGATTCATAAGTAATTAGACAGCTATTCATAAGAAACTAAACAGCTATATCCAGGGTACTGATGATGATTCAAAGCAAATTTTGAAACAACTTTATTTGTCCCTTAATGCTAAAAAATTTTAATAATGATTCAGGAAGAAACACAAAGATAAATCTATCAAATTTGTAGAAGATATAAAATTAAATGACATGAAAATATAAGTATATGAAAGACATCTAAAGATCTACTGGATTCTTCTACTGGGAGGGAAGGAAGAAGAGAGAGGTAAGGCATTAAGTTATGAAAAGGCAAGCTCTAGAAATTTTACAATAAGATGCTACTCAAATGCGTGTGTGTGTGTGCATGTATGTGTGTGTGTGCATGTGTTTGTGTGTGTGCATGTGTGTGTGTAAAGCTGGATGAGGGAATGAAACATTTACTTAGGTAATTTAAAATAATACTAATTTAAATACTTCATCTTCAAAATTCTAAATTTATTTTCTTTTATGCAGAATTTCAGTGTACAAATTAATACTAATTTTTGAACAAGTATAATCAAAGACATAATGCTCACTTAAAGGAAATTTTCTGCCTTAATCATTCTAGGTTTCCCTGAAAACATTTAAAAGAAGCTCTCTATCATATAAAGAATCTATACCTATTTGTCTGAAATATAAAACTATATGTCTCTAAAAGTTAGCAAAGAGAATGTTACACATATCCCCGGGAATATTATCTGCTGCTTTTTCCAAAGTCACAAGTCACTGTTATTACATGGCAACCTGTAACCTAGAGAACACAACATCGCCAATTTTTTCCCCATTTAACACTCCTCAAATAATTGTAACTTCAGGAGCACTAACTGCCTCAGGAATTATGCGCACAATTAAAATTACCAGTCAAACAATTCAAGACAGGAAAAACCCCCACCATTTTCGATCAAACAGCAGGCCGTGATGAAACCATAACAAAAGGTCAATCTTTGCCAAACAAGACTCAAGGTCTCTCACTTCATTAAACAGATAAAAGTAAATATATTTACCCAGTACAACAAGTATTTGGGTTTTTACCAACCTTGAAAAACATTTTACTAGAGTCAATAGTTGGCTATAAAGATATTTATAAGCAATTCTTTCCTTTT